TGTTGTGGGGGAATGCTGCTGACATTCAGTCTATTTTTGTTCTGCAGAAAAGGGCTATTCGATCAATCTATAATCTTAGTCAAATTTTTTCCATTTTTTTAATATAGAGACTTTTTGGTTACAGACAAATTCGCAGAGTTAGCATTAATTAAATGATTTTCTTAATTAGTAACATATGTAGTTAAAAAGAATTAAAAGCGGTCGCGGCGGCGGCTCGGCTCGGGCATCTTTTGGTAGCAGTGTAGTAGGTAGGTTATAATTGTATTCGCAGCCGAGCGCTCGTCGAGTCAACATCTCCTGAGGATGCCCCGTGGAGGGGCGAAACACGTGTCGAGTATAGGTTTGATTGCGTGCCATGTTTTTCCGTTTTTTGCGCGTGTGCATATGCATTTCACCTTTGCTGCATGTGCATAGGAGTGGGATTGCATCCTGAAACAAGCCTGGATTTTTGTCGCGGAATAAACACTAAATATTTTTCCTAACATTTAATGTCATAGATTTCCGCAAAGTTACGCCTGATTCTATAAATTAACTTTTGGTAGCGTTTAATACCTATTGGCCGACACCCCCTTAAGGTAGCCAGAGTATCCAAAAAGGTGTAACTTATGCCAATTTAGAAGGTCCAAACTACTTTTAAATAAAGGTATCTAATAATACGATTACGATAACATGTAGGTATAGATAAGTACTAAAGTATGTATGATTAATGAGCCTATAATTTAGATTAAACTAAACATTTTTAATCTTTCATAGGCATTTAGGTATTTTTATGATAATAATATGCAGTCTCTACCCAACTTAAAAATTATCTATAAACAATTATCTCTAGACTTTAGGGTGTTCCCCGAGCCTCGTCTATCCGTCAGTAATGCACTACTCTACCATGAACCTCCTCTATAGAAGAGGGGTAAGCCACATTACTTGGCTAGTGGATTAGAGGTTGGAGTTGAATGATGAGAGGGCCTACCAGGACCTGTTCAAGCGTGAATCTTTTTGGGCGAGAAAGAGACTACTACTTGATTGGTGTCTCAGTAATCTTAAAGGTATATATTATATGCCTAAAATAGTCACATATGTAAGTGCAAATGCACCCGCTTCTCATGATAAGCAGGCATGACATACGTGGCCGCGTTTACAAACACAGGAGAACATATTAATGGTTTTTTTATGTAATAGATCGGCAAACGAGCGACGACGATTACCTGATGGTAAGTAATCAGCGCCGCCCATGGACATCCGCAACGTAGGAGTTACGAGTGCGTTGTCGACCTTTTAGGGATTAGGGATTTGGAGATTTAGGGATTGAGGAGGGATTGGGGGTGGAGAAGGATTGGGCCTCCGGTAATCTCATTCACACGGCGAAACAACGCTGTGGTTGTTTCACGCCGGTTTTCTGTGAGGCCGTGGTATCACTCCGATCGAGCCGACCCATTCGTGCCGAAGCATGGCTCTCCCACACTTAAAACTCCATCTTATACTACTTTATAGCTCCATCCCTCTTTCTCGCCCGGAAGATTCACGCTTTAACACGACATGGTAGGCCTACAGGTTAAACAGGTGGCCTCTTAACAACGACATTTTGTTTCATAACATTCGCGGGTAGAATAAGCGATCCACCTCCTGTCATTGAGCTCACACACGCTCGACAGCAGCGACTGGTTGCCAGAGGTCTGTTATAACTTATTCTTCATTCTTTTATAAATGTAGCTCTACCCTAAAAAATGCTTCGGTACGAATGGATCGGATCGACCGGAGTGATACCACGGCCTCATAGAAAACCGGAGTGAAACAACCAAAGTATTGTGTTTCGCCGTGTGGGTGAGGTTACCGGAGGCCCAATCTTTCCCCTCCCCCAATCCCTAAATCTCCAAATAATCAATCCCCAAAAGGTCGGCAACGCACTCGTAACTGCTCTGTTGTTGCGGGTGTCCATGGGCGGCGTTGATTGCTTACCATCAGATAATCCGTCTGCTCGTTTGCCGACTTACCTATTTCATAAAAAAAACATTAGTATTTTTTCCTGTGTTTGTAAACGCGACCACATGGGTCATGCCTGCTTATCAAAGCCTGTCTCCGCGACGACGTTCCATAAATAAATACCACACTGACTGAACCCGGTATAATTCCGAAATTATTCCAATACGCTGAGTCAGTGGAAAACATGGGAAACAAGTGCTGCAGCGGCAGCTGTTTATTACTGTATTCTTATAAGTGTTATTAAATATATAACAGCCCCCCGGATAAAATGGAGCATCTAGGAGAAAAAGATGCGAAATTGAAATTCACGAGAAAATATCGAACGTCGTTTCAGATTAACAAACATTACCTAATAACTATAGCGATAGAACATTATGCAATAATCTTAATACAATCTATTAATTCTAGATAAACAATAACAATAACATAAGTATATTATTAGTAGTTAAAAGGAGAATTAAGAACATTATAAGCAATGATGTATAAAACTATAGATACGTTGTCCGCGCTCTAAAATGACAACATGAAATGAAGGCAATTGACAACATCGCGCTTAGTTACGCACCAACCTGCCGCGCGACGCTACGTTTGTTTTTAATTTATATCGTGTGTAAACCTGTGCGAAACACAAAGAAAGCATGTCGTCGTGTGTGTTCAGACGATGTACAAATTATACTCCAAAAGTTAAAGACAAAAATGTGTCATTTCATGCGTAAGTTCACCAAACAACCTATTTTTATTTTATTTTTTTCGACGCCGGAGCCCGCCATCTTATGGCGGCCGGCGCATGAAGGTATAGTCACGTGCCATCGGCATAACTGAAGAAGTATATTTATCTCCCTCTAGCAAAGGCATTCCACTATACGATGTCATATTTTCTTTCCCTTTCTTTACTCGTAGAAGTAGTTATCTAGTATTTTCGCCGTTTTTAAGCGCCGCGATGTTGGTTCATGACGTGTCTATATATAATACGTCATTGATTATAAGTCCTAGTTTATCTTGGACACTAAAAGGTTACGTTTAATAGGCGTTGGCCTTAACATTGATGAATAAGTATCATCGGCCACGCTGTTTTTATTCATGATAGATAATTCAACAGAAGGTTGACGAGTTTCACTAACTCTCTTAGTATTTTATTTTATAGGTACATTGATTGAATATCTGTATACACTAATGATCCTTCGATTTTGGACAATAACATCTTCTGATTCTATAAAGTAGGTATACAAAAAATACAATGAAAAGTACATAAGAAAGAGACATGTAATGAATGTCATATTTTTGGAAATGATTAGGACTCTCAAGGCTATCTTATTACTTTTCGAATGAATCTAAATGTAAGCTAGCTTGCAATAGAGAATCCAAATTATTTACATCGTTTAATTTTGAATAAGGCAACCTGGTAAGTTTCTTGTTGACTCTATTTTTATTACAACAGTCATCGTCTACAAGATTAAATTATATAAATAATCTGTGAGCTTACATTGAGAACAGCGTTTGACTGTGGCACGAACTGTAAGGTTTTAAAGAAAGCTTTACAGGTTTTAGTTATGGACAATAAGCCCGTGCCGAACAGAATTTCATCAAAATTGTTTCCGTCATTATCACCGGAAATATGACACTAGCATACCCTCAACCCTGCGTCCATGCCCGCATCGAGGCAGGAGAAGGTCCGGCGTGCCTTTAAGTTCTGACACTCTGATTCTGTCTCCCAGGCTTCGGCTCTCGGCTCCCGGCTCCAGGGTGAGGGATGATTTATCCTCCTCAAAAGAAAAAAGGAAGGGGACGGGAAGGACAATACTTGAGGCATGTGTAACACACTTTTGTGAACTTGGATGAATAATAAAAACATCAGTTAAACCAAAGCATTTTATTTCATTTAATATAAAAAATGTACGCCTACTGGCACTTTCAATATTAGTAAAACAGTCCCTGTCCAGACGTGAAGCTAGCAGATTCATCTTCTAAAGCGTAGATTTGTATAAAAAAAGACGTGACCCAAAGAATGGAACAACCATGCGTCAATCGACCCACGGAACATCTTAGCATCTTAACACTGTGCAGCTGTGCAGAGAATAAATGGGAGCAGACCTTCTACCAACCAAGCACATCTAAGAACATAATATTTTATTGAAAACAGACTCTTGATTCAGACTATATTTCTTTAAACGTCGCCCCACACTATATTTTCTTTATGTTATGTATTAAACATATATTTTCATATACACATCACACCCGCAGCAAATTGCGCGGCAGCCAGTGGCCTAGCCACCGTGCCAACTATGCAAACATTAAAGTTTATTTTGTTACACAAGGAGACCGTGTGCAAGTGCAACGTACCGTACTGCGTAGATAGATTAATATCTTGTTTTCTAATAGGTTTATCAATATTGATTATAAAATTGGATTAGTTCGTGCGCGTTCCACTTCCACGAATTTGATACAATTTTTAGTACTAAAATGTAAATAATGGCTGTATTAGATTTAGGTTACCAAGCAGATGTAATTTAGATCGACTTTTGTAATGCGTTGGAGAAAATAAGGCCCTAAATGTTGATACAAAAAACACCAATTTTATTACTGACAGCTTATTGAGTTGGCTTACTTAAGGTTAGTTCATATTAAGTAGTCAATGGATCTGACTTCGAAGCGCATACAATTTTCCGAGGAGTGCTACAGGGTTCAAACCTCGGACCGATTTTATTCAACACAGACGTAGATATAGTGTATCGATCTGCTTAATTTTAGGACTCACACTTCTTCGTGTTTGCTGACGACTTTAAATTAAATAAATCTTCGTGATATGCTACTCCAATAGTATTTATTTGAAATGAAAGTATGTAACTTTAAGAAATGGTTTCCAGGTGCTAAGAAAAATAATGTTAAGAGAGAGAGAGAGAGAGAGAGAGAGAGAGAAAGAGAAAATTGATAAAAGGAATTCGACAATATTATAATAAAAATAAACAGAACAGATTTTATGAATTACCTACTTAAGTATCTACGCAGAATTATATCAGTAGAGTGACGCATCCTGAAGCCAGCTTATCGAGAGACCCACGCTTAGTTTGTTTGCAACGTCCGCGCCATTCACGCGCAGTTTGACAATTATTTATTAAAACATTTCATAACTTTTTAATTCACAATATTTCAATCAAATCGGGACGAGAGTGGATTAAACAACAGCTTCTTCTAATGTGATACTAAGGTACCTAATATATTAGTTTTAATGTAGTTTCAAGTTCTGTGCTTTACATGTACTTAGGTACAAAGAAAAAACGCGGTATTGTTACTTTGTTTTAAGTGGTACAAATTTAGACGTACATACTATATATTTAGTTGATTGTGATGTTATTTATATATCACTATTCATATGAATAATTACGTAAGTAAACAATATAGATTCACCAGTTAGAAATTATTATTAAGTGTAGTAGAGCCATGCTTCGGCACGAATGGGTCGGCTCGACGGAAGTGATACCGAGGTCTCACAGAAAGCCGGCGTGAAGCAACCACAGAGTTGTGTTCCGTCGTGTGAGTGAGGTTGCCGGAGGCCCTTCTTCCCCAAATCCCTACTCAATCCCTAAATCTCCCAAATCCTTAATCCCCAAAAGTCGGCAACTCACTCGTAACTCCTCTATTGTTGCCATGTCCATGGGCGACGCTGATTGCTTACCATCAGGTAATCCGTCTGCTCGTTTGCCGACCTATTACATAAAAAAACTAGAATCTACTTTTAGAACGAGCAAATACCTTCAAATCCACTACTAAAAAAACCGGGCGTGGTAGCTAACCGGGTCCGGGTAGACTTTGTCAGCGTTGTTTGTTGTCGTGGTTGCTTTATAATCTCATATAGGCACCACCCATATTGCAGGGATATCTCAATTTGATCTAAACTTACAACTTAGTTAATTCCCATTAATTAGATCACGAAGTTCTACGTGATCTACGATCGAATAAAGCTTTTATTGTACTTTATTTTGAAATGTCTTATCACTGCACTAGTCGGACCGGACGAGTGTCACACAGAGGCCCTTAGTCCAACTATTTGTTATCTTTTATAGGCATTCAGATTATAAATATCTAGATTTGTAAACTGTATCCAATTTTATCTTTCATTTACAGAACCTACGAGACATTTAGTTTACTGATAGGTACCGATTACGTTACAACATTAATTTTTTTAGTAGAACAAGCCCGCCACCACCTGCATATACCAATATGCCTAAAAAACATTGAACCAATGAATTAAGCCGCTTGATGAGCTATTGTTTTGGAGGCCTTCCTCGGCCCAGAGCAGGAGAAGGAACAGGGGGGTGTTTAGTCAGTATGAGTCTGACACTCCCTCCCGCCCGGCCCTGGGCGGGAAAAGTCATTTGATGATTTTCCCCCCTCACAAAAAACAAATCTCTATTAATCCGATCTGAACTTTATGATAAATGTTGCCCTGGAAGGACACAACCAAAAATATTATGGAATTGGTTTAGTAGTTTCATTTATCTTTACAAACTACACTTTAAACCTTTTAATCGTCGTAATTCGAGATACAATAGAAGAACAATAGATGTGGGTATAGTGAATTAATTAACAAATTAGGTTTACAATAAGTACTTCAGCTGGACTTCACTCATAACTTGGTGGTTACCCTAGTGAAAGGTTATATCAAGCTGGTACCGAAGCACAGTTCACCTTAACTTTTTTTAATACCCAATACTTAATTATAAAGAGGTATTTGTAAGTTTGTACAGTGTGTGTTGTTTGTAAACCGCTGGTCGGATTGCTAAAATTCTGAGCCGAGCAGCGGGTGAAACCGCGCGAGAGTAGCTAGTACTCAATATATTTATTGCATTCCACAATGTGAACTTAGGTGGTACGGTACATAAGGATTTACATACTTAGGAGCATTGTGGGCCCTGTCGGGCATAACAATATTAGTAGGTAATTTTTTAATGAGGAGGGCTAGTACAAATGATATGTTTACAATTTTTAATTATTTTTATGTAGGTACGCTTATATAACTTATCTATAACTAATTGAGTACAAATATATTATAATTGATATTAGGAAATTATTACATTTTGAATATTGTGTTTAGTGTGTATATTGTATATGAAAGTTTTATTGTAAATTATTGGGTGTCTTGTGCCAAATAAACCCATTTTTTTCTTTAATTTATTTTTAGATGGCAAGAAACGAGCGACGTGGTCTCCAGTATGGAAATGGCAGCGGTCCGTCAGAGGTAACTTGATAATTGATTTTTTTCATTATATTCTTGTTACAAGTACTACAATTTTGTTTTAATAAGGTTTACTAGGAAGTAAATAAGTGTAAGCATTATCACAAAATTCTAACATAGATTCCTACATGATTTTTTAAACAAAATCTTTGTCATCATCTCGTTAACCATCATATTATATTAGTATTAAGTACTTATGCATGTAGTTGTGGCGTATGGTTGTATGTAAGTATATATTGGATTCGGTCACTTGTAGGTATATTTTTTTATCAGGGTCATTCATCATCATCATTAGAGGCCTATATCCCTTAAATGGAACAGAGGACATCCACAGTGCTCTGCCATCGCGTCCGGTCTTGAGCTTCGCGCTTTATTTCACTCCACGTCTTCAATATCATCAAATTACTTCTACCGCCCAGGGTGAGGCGAGAGGACTCCCTCTCAATTCGATCCTACCACAGTAAATAGGTACTTACAATATAAATAACGTCGTATAAGTAATTATTATTTACACATTGAATGTCATTTCAGACAAAAGTGTCTGACGCTTTTTTGTGATGGGAAAATCATTATAAAAAATACTTTTCTCGCCTAGGGTGAAGCGAGAGGGAGTGTCAGACTCTTACTGACTATAAACCCCTGCGTTCCTTCTCCTACTTTATGGGGAGGCCGCTGTGCCTCATTGCGCTTACCACGCAACCCCGGCTAAAGTCATTTGTAGGTATAACTCGTCCATCAACAAGATAAAGCAAAATTCAAAAACTTTTTATTTACATGACATGGTCGCACGCTACGACCGGACTTTCACGATATTAAAATACTAATAAAACTTTTCATTCCCAGGTTTCATCTCCCAAGAAAAGAAAGTGTAGTCGCCTACCACAAGATGCAGAATATCTAGCGAAGAAAAAAAAGTTTGATGAACTTAAATCTAAATTATCAAAAACTAGAGCAGAACTCCGTGATATTAGGATCTCCAAACGGGTAACGAGCAAAAAAGAATTAATACAAAGACAACAGGAGCGGCTGCAAAATAACGTAAAAAAATTAATAGATTTCGCAAAAAAGAACAGAATTGATATTTCTAATTTAAAAACACAAGATATTAAAGAAAAGAATCACGTGGAAAACAAACAAAATGAAAAAAACAAGCAATTGAAAAGTAAACGAAATCAAGTTACAGATAATAAAAGCGTTGAAGCAATGCGAAATGAGCATGATTTGATCAAACAACAATCTGAAAAGAAACTGAGAGATTTAAAAAATCATCACGTTAAGGTAATTAAAAGAATTAGAGGTGAAATTCAAACAATTAAAAAACGAGAAGAACTAGTTACTAGTACTCTTAGATCGGTTCAGAAGAAATTAGATAATCACTTGAAAATAAAAAAGAAGAACTATGCTATTAAAATACGAGACTGGAATCAGAAAAAAAACGAACTTAAGCAGAAATATCTTACGGTTAGTTCTGAGCTAAATAAAAAAATTAAGAAATGTGTAGAAATTGAAGAAAAAATGAAAAATGAAATCGATGAGAAAATTAAAATGCTTAATCGCAAAGAAACACATGAGAGAGAGAAAATTACACAAAGAATTGAACAATTGCAAAAAACTTATTATGATAAAGAGGAGGAATTTCAACGGAATATTCTCATTTTAAAACAACGTGAGCAAAAGATGAAATGTGATATAGACAATAAAATACGCGCTTTGGAGCAATCGGAAGAAAACCAAGAAGCAAAATCAAGAAAAACTATTCAGGAATTAGAAAACTATTTAGCTCAAAATCAACAAGAATTTTATAAAAATATAAATCAACTAGACCAGTCCTTAGCGGCAAAAAAAGATAAAATAAGGAAAGAAATAAAGAACTATAAAGAAAGAGAAGCTGAGGCACGGTGTGAGAATGAGAAAAAAATTAAAGAATTTGAGGATCAATTAGTTGAAGCTGCAAACCAAACCAAACAGAATATTGAACGAATGCAGCAAGAAGCATATGAGAAAGAGAATGAATTTAATATTAAAATAAAGGAATTAGAAGCTAAGGAAAATAAAATAAAAACAGATATAGAAAGAGCAGTTCTTCATTTAGAAAAAGCATATCAAGATAAGATGAAGACGATGCAAGAATCTGAAGTAAATGTGCAACATATTTTAGAACAAAATATGCACTTTATGCAACTAGATGAGATAGAGAGAAAAATTGAAAATGAACGAAAAAATAAAGTTTTAAAAAATGATTTGGCATTAGCGCGAGCTGAACATAATAAAAGAATTGAACTCATGAAAAAAGATAAAACTGAAAAGGAGCAGCAAATTAAAATTCAAATGAAACGTTTGCAATTTATGGAAGAAGTAACAAAGGCAAATATTAAAGGCTTAGATGTTCAGTTAGCGAAATATACAGATAAAATTAAGATAAAAGAAAATTGTAGTATAACATTAATAGCTGAACGACGAAAAGAAATAGAAAAAGCTATTAAAACAATAACAGACACTCAAAAGAGTAACAAAAAAATCTTAGATGAAAACATTAATAAATTAGAAATCAAATTGATAAAACTACGATCAGATATGGAGGAAAAATGTAAGCTGAGAGAAGAAAAAGAGAGAGAAATGAAAATAATGAAAGACATTGAAACACAAAAGAAACAAGAATTAGAAAATACAGTTAAAGCATTAGAAGAGAAATTAACTACTTATAGGATTCAATATGATGAAAGTATTAAAACAATGCAAATGCAAGAATCCATCAAAAATAAGGAAGTACAAACTCAAATTGAAAGCATGAGAGAAACCAAAGCTCAGAAAGAAGAAATTCACAGGAGGAATCTAGAGGCGCTTGAGATGTTACTGAACAGTCACAAGGAGCAATTTCAGAGAGAAGTTGAGGCTATGCAACAGGTTGAGACTGAAAAGGCCCGTATGATTGAAAATGATATTAAATACCTTCAAGACACAGAAAATAAATGTGAAAGTGAGCACACTGAGACCGATAATAATATTACTACAACAAAACAGCATGCGCAGACTGTACAAAGTAGAAGGGAAATTGAAGACGAGATACGAAACCTTCGAAAACACGAAGAAAAAGTGCACGCTGAGACGAATAGCGACATTGCTGCACTATTGCAGGTAAAAACTGACATTCGAAATAATATAGCTCAATTGGAGCAACATTATGCTGAGGTAAAGCAAGCACATGAAGCAGATATTGAGGACTTGAAAAGACAGGAAGCAGAGGAAAAAGCTCTTGTTGCGGAGAATATTAAAGCGTTGCAAGATGACTTGGCTTTGAGGGAAGAAGAATTCCATAAGGCCATGAACTCTCTGCGACTACATGAAGACGAGGTACGCAGAGAAATTGAAGCGAAAATTAATAAAATGGATGAAGCTGAAATGAGTAGGAGAGAACAATACAATATATTAAAAGCTCAAACTAAATAAACTTTAGAGCGTCTCCTACAAGCTTTGGAAGTAATAGCTAGGGTGACGTTAACGATTTGACTTCTGCCTATTAAATTGTTATGCAGTACTTAGCTGTAGCGATTATTGGTTTAACGAACCATATTTTTATGGTTGCACAATCACTATAATATTGTTTTTAGAGTACTTTCTTTTGTAATTTAACCATGTACTGAATTTGAACTAGATGTAACAGTCTATTATTAAGTTTTTTTTTAATATTAAGTAAATATATTATTCCTTTTATATTGTGTGTTTGATTAACTGGTAGAATCAGGATTTATCTGTAACGCTGCTTGCTTCGTATGAAAGTACACCGTACCGGAAACTGTGAGGTCAAAGTCAAAATCAAAATCATGTGCTCCAACTCAACTATAAATAGATACTCTTGAAACGTCAAAAAAGTATAATAGTCTGTCAGTCAGTTGTAGATTCAAATGGAGAAGATTGAGCAAGAACCAGATCTTCTGTAGACTTAACTTTTATGTCTTTAAACGCCTTTATTACCGATTGCGGGTCCGTGTACTGAAATCGGAAGCCAGAACGGCATTCTTTAACATTTCTTTTAAGAAGACTAATAGAAAGTGCCGGAGATGATTCTAAGTCTTTCGTAGTTTTAATGGGGATATTCTTGAAAAAAATTTCGAATTCTTGGGCAACTTCTTGATTAGCATTAACTCGTCCATTATCCGTATTTAAATTAAATTCCGTGTTATGCAATTTATTTTTGCCTGTCTCGCTATTAATTACCTTCCACGTAGCTTTTGTTTTATTTTCAGCATTCTTAATCTTATTGCCAATATAAAGTGATTTAGCTTGCCTACAGACTGTTTTAAATATTTTTGCATATTTGGACACATGCTTGCTGAAGGCTTCAGTAGTATTAAATGGTTTCATACCATAGAGCTCAAATAACCTTTCCCTACTTCTACGAATACCTGGTGTGGCCCAATCACAGAATACAAATTTACACTCAATCGTTTTTCTTCTTAAGGGGAATATTTTATCAAACTGGGTTATCAATTAATGTAAGGGACAAAACACGTATTTTCAGGAGAGCAAAAAAACGATTTTATTTTTTTAAATCTCTATAACTTTTAACTGGTGCTTACTATTTTAATTGTGTCTAGGACAAAGTTTCTTAGAATTTCTTCTTCTTTCATGCTATAAAGTTAATATTTTGGAATACCCAGCGGTTTACAATATATGTCCCTTACATTAAAAAATATGTTTAGTTGTGCCTTACGTTACCAATATTTTATGTATAAACCGTCAAGCATAGCGTAAGCAGCAAAAGAAATAGAAAATTATACGAAATTCTACTGTAAAGAACTTTTATAGTATTGCAGTTTGATGTAACTATAGATTATCTACTAAAATTATGGTATTTTGATACTTTGGAAATAGGTTCTTTGCATGATTAATGAGCTCAGCTATCACAAATTTAAATGAAATTTAGGAATACAAAAATAAAACGATTTCTTGTTAAAATATTTTTATTATTTTCGAATTATTATAAATTCAACACACTAATCAGTCTATAACAGTTTTTGTTAAGTTTAAATAAATGCCCTAAAATTAACAGTCTTCAAATTAACAGTCTTACACACCTTTTAATAAATTTAAAATAATATAATTATGTATTTGACTCCATGATCTCTTATGATTGAAAAAGCTAAGGCCTTAATTAACAGTTGTACAAACTATGTACTTTTAATATTTACGTTTCACTGGTTTTATAAAAAAAAAGAAAAAATATTTTCTCAAACTTAATCAACAGTTATTGAGTAATTGAATGAATGCACTGGAAACGAAAGACGATGAAAAAATATGAATTGACTGAAGAAAAAAATGAAGAAAATAATATAAAACATGAACACTAATATAAATATTAGTAAATTAAACTTTAATGGTGAAATCGGAAGGGTTGAAATAACTTTTTCTATTTGATATTTTATCTAGTTATGGGTCATCAGCTGTCTTCACATCTTCATCGACGTCAGTTTCAATGAGGGTATCTTTAACTGACGATTTAGTCGGCAATATATTCAACATGAAATCTTTTTGGCATTATGCCCGGGTCGCACAATTTTTTTGAGATCATTGCATTTTGGAATGGAAATTGGGAGCCTCTCTTTATAGAGATGGCAAATTGTCTGTGTTCCTATGACCTATGTCATTGCTAGTACTTTCAGCTGCAGATTCATTTTTGTTGTCTATATTTTTTTTTATTTTACCTCTAGCAGTACTTCTTTTCCCAAACCCTTTACCCTTTCCTCTTGCATTAAAATTCCTTCTTTCTTAAAATTCTTATTTTCTTTGTGAGATAATAATGTAAGAGAATAATTTAGAAAAAACAATAATCTTGAATTAAAGTAAGGGACATGTTATTTAAATCGACTGATATGAGGTTTAAGGTAAGGGTGTAAATTATTTAATACTATGACTTACTTTATTTTTCAGAGAAAAAAATATATAAATGTCTGTTACATCAATTTTTCTGTCGTAAATCGTTTTACTCAGGTCAAAATTTTTTACTGTAAGGGCTCTTTTTTAACGATTGATTTTTTTTAATAATATCAATCGATAGAGCGCAAAATTCTGGATCCAATGATATATATAACTTATTTTCGTCAAAATGTCCCTTACGTTAATTGATACTTCTGGTATCGATATCATATAAAAAAAAACCTTTATCGTCTCGAACGAGGCGCTCCCATATGCATCCTGACAATTCGTAATAATAAATTAATGTAGTATTTCCATAGTTTTCATCCACTAGTGCATTGCAACCCATACCGATAACCCTATAAATTTTTAACACATTTTACAATAGTCCTGCATCGACCGGGGATTGTCCTTGAGTGCACTTTCATAGTGCATACAGGGATAATTGCCGGCTGATGTCCTATTACATTTAGATTTAAATTGTTCAACGAGCCTCTGCGAGTTGGCTTCGGCTCCTCGTATGCCTTCCAAAGGTCCGGGACCCTGTGGCCCCGTGAAAGGAAAGAACAAACCAAAATGAATGTATAAAGTTACAATTAAGTATTGATTCGTTATGAGCATTTCAGTAACTGCTACTATTTGAGTATTGTACAGTGGAGCCGAACCAACATGCTGCTAGGCATTCTGATCCTCAATTTAATCTGACAGTTTGCAGTATGCTTGTATACATAATATGCGTATATAACCCCTTGAAGGACATACAGTTGGACGTTTGTACAGACGAAACCGTGGCGCAGAGAGTCTATCTTTGCCCATTATATCTTTATTGCTTCTTTTTTTAAATAATTGCATTTTCCCTCACGTACTTACATAATATTTTGTTAACTGACAAGGCACCGTTAGGATATTTATCGTTTAAGGTATATTATAGATATTGCATAGATAGTCCGCTAATGCAGAATTCTTTTTTCAAAATTCCGTACGGCATAATGCTGTGAAAATAACTAAAATAGACAAGCCTTGTTGTATTTACGTCTGCTTTTTTTATTTTTTTTAATGTTATAGATCGGCAAACGAGTAGACGGATTACCTGATGGTAAGTAATCAGCGCCGCCCATGGACACCCGCAACGTAGGAGTTACGAGTGCGTTGTCGACTTTTAGGGATTAGGGATTTGGAGGTTTAGGGATTGAGGAGGGATTGGGGGTGGAGAAGGATTGGGCCTCCGGTAACCTCACTCACACGGCGAAACACAACGCTGTGGTTGTTTCACGCCGGATTTCTGTGAGGTCGTGGTATCACTCCGGTCGAGCCGACCCATTCGAGCCGAAGCATGGCAGTCCCACACTTACACCCTGTCTGTGTCTCTCTCTAGTTTAACTGTAAAAACAGCTAAGCTTAGTCTCCCCGAAGGCCTCTTTTTGTAAGAACCCCATTGAAGCCTATTGTCTAAAGTGAAACCTAGGAACACTGTCTCGTTGTCAAATTGCAAGTTTTGTCCATTCAAAATGATGCAGTGCGTAGGACTGAAGTGGTCGACTACTTGGTGAAGTGGCTTTGGGTCGTTGAACATAATCCAGGAGTGCTGCTAGGCCTAAATCTCTGTGCACTGGACTATGCTACCGCTAAATGTTGATAATATAGGTGGCGCACCATACTGGCTGCTGTCAGCTTAGGATTGAAATGTGCATAACTCAACAACGCCTGGACCAATTTTGCTAATTCTTTTTTTGTTGTGTTTGTTACTGTCAGGAGACTGTTCTTATTAAAGAAATATTAGAAAAGTAGAAGGGAAGATTAGGAAAAGTGACTCTTTAACAGCGAGATAAGTACCCGTGCGAAGCGGGGGCGGGGTACTACTAGAATAGTACCTAAATACCTAAATAACATTAATGCGTAGTTGCAACAGGATATTGTAATTTAACCACGACACGGAACTGGACAACACTGTAAAGTAAGTAATTAGCGCTTATCAGTAAGTACATACTTGTTGACATACATTACAGTTGGGTGACGCATCCTGAAACCCGCTCATCGATTGATTCGCGCTAGTTTGTATGCAGCGACCGCGCCGCGCGATATTCTGTTTGCGAATCATTAATCATAAAAACAACTTTAATATCGAAAATATTTCAACAAATTGGAGAAAGACAGGATCGAACTACATCTTCTTCTAAACCTTTTTGAAGGTAAGTAATTCATTGGTTCTCGTGCATTAACGTGTGTTGCGTGTGCTTTTGTTTTTTTGTTAAGTGACTGATGCAAGTTACGACGTAATTTCTATGTCCAGTGTTATATAGCGAAAGTTCTCTTTGCACTACCTGTTCTACTATTGAGATATTTAGGCATTACGGACATACGAAAGCGTTTTATTATTTACCTACGTATACAACAATATCCGACAGAGACCTAAAGTTATCGACATAGCCCAAAGGATTAGCAAACTGAAGTGGCAGTGGGCAGGTCACATCTGTCGAAGAATCGATGACCGCTGGAGTAAACGTGTTCTAGAGTGGAGACCACGTCTAGGCAAACGTAGTGTAGGGCGCCCTCCAGCTAGGTGGACTGACGACATCCGCAGGGTGGCTGGGAGTGGTTGGATGAGAAGAGCTGAACATCGAGCTCAGTGGCGTGCAATTGGGACATACGCCTCCTATGTCCAGCCGTGGACGATAACAGGCTGATGATGAACTATAATATACAGAATATGTATGGTTTTTTTACACATGACGTGTCCATTATCTCAGATTTCTCTAGACTTTTCCAAGAGTGTTTTATCTTTTATGGACGATTCCATAAAGAGAGCGATAATCTCAAGTATTCTAGGGTATGCCCCGAGCATTCGTTGGAGCGCTCTGTACTCTAGAAATGATAATTAATCAATAATTTTTTTTCCAGGTGACTGAAAACGAATCTTCACTCGATGCTGAACTTGATCCCATCTATATTATTATTAATATTATAAAGAGGTAAAATTTTTAAGTTTGTAAGTTTGTATGTTTTTAAGTTTGTAAGTTTGTATGTAAGGGGTAATCTTTGGAACCGCTGGTTGGATTGCCAAAATTCTTTCACTGATAGATAGCTACAATGTTCCTGAGTGCTATAGGCTATAAAACATCACGCTACGATCAAATGGAGCTGAGCAGCGAGTGAAACGGCGCGAGTGTAGCTAGTATGCAATAAATTTATTTAGCGCGTCATACAGTTGCAACGTCAATTTCCCGACAACGCCCTTCTCGAGAAACTTGCCGAATTCCTTAGACAGTTGGAAAAAATGGTAAGTATTACAAGTGTGGGAGAGTCAAGCTTTGGCAAGAATGGGCCTTCTCGACTCAGAAAACTGTTGTGAAACAACAATTGTGTGGTGTAGGTACTAGTTATTCGCTGTGCGAGCCCTCAGTTGGGACAGAAGTTGTTAGCTGCAGCACTCCATAATTAGACCGCGCCGGAGCTCATCCCGCTACTCTTACTTTTACTTTTACCAAAGAATTGCTGTCTGTTCTTACCATAGATTTGTAGGAAACTAGTTTTCTATCTCCGAAAGTCGATTGCTAATTCGAGCGTGCTTACACTTCTGTGATAGCACGGGCGATACAGCACAATATTTTCCTATCATAATGTTCTTTGCGTTAACACCTTTGTTCGTAGGTACTTGCATATTTAATGTAGTGAAAAACTTAATGGTATTAAAAGATAAAAGATTTTTATTTCATCTACATTGCGTACATAATATAAATTAAGGCAACCCCAGTAAGTTATAAAAGCACTTGTATTGGTGCTGTCTCGTTTCTTCCATTACAAACCAAAATTGCAATGTTGAGACTATAAAACTACAAATATATGTTAAAAAATGAAAGAAAGAAAAACAAAACAAAGAGAGAATAAAAATGATATTTCATAATACATTTATCATTTTATAGATCTTTGGATCCGAAGCTGCATCTGACGGAGGGGGTGGCGCCAGCAGCGGGCCGTCTAGGGCGACAAAGGATCCAGTAAGTTTTTTTATAAAAGCCTATTTTTTGGGGCAAAATCATCAGATGACTTCTTCCACCCTGAGGGCTGCGAAAGAGTTTTAAACTCTTACTGACTAAACACCACTCTTTTCTTTCTCCTTTTCCGGCACAGGGTCGTCTTAAATTATGGAGCTTCCACCCCCCACTTACTTAGATAGAATTCATATTTTGTGACTTATCTCTTCGAAAACCTATCCTACGGCTGTGTAGATTTGAGAAAAGAAATACTTGCTAGGTTTTTTAGCTAAATTACTAACTATAACTATTTATTACTAAAAGAACTTAAGTTAAACCCACGTAGTTCCCGTTCCTTTGGGGTTTTTTGGGAAAAACTATTCTTCGGTCCGATGAAGAAGGTAGAATGGAATTCGGTTAGTTAAATACCGTAGGTGGAGATTGTTGAAAGAATGGAGAGAATATATGTTCAATTCTATGTACACACTGAATATAGAGAACACTTCACACTCAGGATAATTGTCAGCACCACATTTTGTAATCTATTCACGTTTATAAAGATGAGCTTGTGAGTACACTTGCCTGATTTCAAAGTCCAGATTCAGATTTTTCAATTATATCGGCAGACAAGTATGATTGTAGTTTCTTTAGATACCCCCTAATCATCAGTTAGCTCTTCGGTCAGTCATCAGGATAAAATGCGAACTAAAGAAAACTTTATTTTATTTTTATTTTATCAGGACACAAATCTACCAACGAAGGGAAAGATTAATAACAGATTAGAAAGTACAGAGTGCCAATCTAAAAAAAAAAACTGAACGAAATTACAGGGCCATACAGTATGGCAGGCGATAAAGTTCAGAAACAATTTCAAGTTATCAATAACACACTTGAACAGCTGGAAAGGCAAATACTTAAATATAAGTATATGTTAGATGATAAAAAAATTGACAAAAGACATGTCAATGAATTTGAAGAAAGAAAGAAAAAATATGTGACTGAACTTAACAATATAGTGCAGGAGAAAAAAGAGATGGAAAACAAACTTCAAGTTGAAAATGAAAGGGAGAGAAGACAGATGGATGAGGATATCGAGAAATTAAGAAGCCAACTAGCTCAAGCGAAAGACGAAGTTATAAAAATAAAAGCTGAAAAACTTAAATTCGAAAATGAAATAAAGGAACAAATAGAAATGTATAAAAAGGATAAAGAACTGGTGGAAAAAAGTATAGATAAATTAGGAAAGCAACTAACAGAGATAAAACACGATAGAGAGAAATTAAAGAACAATGTTGAAACTAAAGGAATTGAGATAGAAGAGCAAACAAAGGAGGCAAAAGAAAAGTACGACAAGGAGAAGGAATTCGGTCTTGAGGAATTGAATAACAAATCAACTCAAACACTAAGTGAAATTAAATAATAATTAACGTACCTACTGTAAGCAGTTCAAAACCAACAAAGCAGAATATATAACCCGTTTGGTCGTGTTTTACGATAGTGATTGCTTCAGGAGATTCTACCAGAGACTTTCTAAGTAACAGCACGTACAAACTTTTAGAGCATTATCTCATCGTGCTTATCAATAAAATTGATGTTATAATTTAACTCAACATTATTTATACTAAGTTGATTTAAAAAGTAACTAAGTGTTGATCTATACTTAATATCATAAGTAAAGAGGTAAAATTTGTAATTTTGTATGAAGGTAGTAATCGTTGGAACCAATGGTCGGATTTCCAAAATTCTTTCACTTATTAATAGCTACAATGTTCCCGAGTGCTATAGGCTATAAAACATCACGCTACAACCAAATGGAGCCGAGCAGCGGGTGAAACCCCGCGGGAGTAGCTAGTAAATAATATCTAGTATATTGAGTAGGTATGTTGTTTTTAATATATTTTTATGAACTGAATTTATTGACATTTCTAATTTTGTTACTTACTTTACTTTGATAGATTTATTTTATTTGTTTAAAAAAAAAAATCATTTGGTATTTAAAAATAAATTGTACTCCAATTAGACATAAACTATACGATTTATATTCCTACATTGGTAACGGTAGTATAATTATGTGGAACTGTGTTTTAATATTAATATATATGTGTTTGCACCATGTACTAAGGAATAAATTAAATTCTATTATTCTATTCTAAGTATTATTTTTAACCTTAAATATTTCTACAAATGTTTTTGTTTGGGCAATAGCAAAAATATACTTTCTGATTGGATACCTACATATATAATTATTTCTAATAAGATTCATAATTACCATTAAATTTGAATATCTGAAAAGCGAATACGCCCGTTTTAGAGATTCGTCATCAGCCTATAAGTGCCCACTGCTGAGCAAAGGCCTCTTCTCATACGGAGAAGGTTAGAGCATTAATCACCACGCTTGCTCAATGCGGGTTGGCGATTTCAAACTTATAATTAGATATTATAAGTCCAGGTTTCCTAACGATGTTTACCTTCACTGTATGTCAGTGGTGTCTAAATAATCATAGAAAGTACATATAACTTTGAAAAAGTCACATTGGTACTTGCCAGGTTTCGGACACCCTCATACATGAGAATTGGGCTCCTTAACCGTTTTGGAGATGAACCCATAGATATTCACTTTTGTATCCTACTCTATTTATACTGGGCATGATTGTAAAACCACAGCGTTGTTTCGCCGTGTGACTGAGGTTACTGGAGGCCCAATCCTTTCCCTTCCCCAATGCCTCCCCAGTCCCTAACTCTCCAAATCCCTTATCCTTAAAAAGCCGGTATGGCAATCGTAACTCCTCTTTTGCGAGTGTCCATGGGCGGCGCTGATTGCTTACCATCAGGTAATCCGTTAAAACCACCGAGAGGTTAAAAAGAAGTCACACCTTTTAATTTTCATCAATATCCCAGATCCTGAAGCTTGACAAGACAAGTATCTAGGCAACCTTGAGTAACTTGCAGCATGTCTTGAGCGAGGAGACTGCTCACGAAGATATTCTTCAGTGTTCCGAGTCGGCATCAAGCATGAGGCGGGCAGCACGTCGATTCTATATAAATTTGTTTTATTTTGAATCTTGTTCGAGTGTTTAACGTCATCTCATACTTTATCTATTAAAATGTTGCGGTCAATTTCAGTTCAACTCGCAAGGTGTAGTACTAGTGTACTACTACTCACAGCGGATCCAGATTCGAAGTTTAGAACGATGGCTTACAGAATCACACTGCAGGAGGGACGGCCACTGAAAGGAAGCCATAAAAAACTGTAATCATCCTGATATACATATTAAATTTAAACTAAACTACAGTCAAAGTGTTACTTTTGAAGTAGAGTCTTACTTTCTGCCTCTTTTGGAATGGTGATATAGGATTGGGAATATGGTTACCAAGACCAAAGTCCTAAATATAATGTTAATATCCTTGTTACTAGAATTAAATATATGTCTCATCATCAGCCTATAGGTGCCCACTGCTGAGCAAAGGCCTCTTTTCATACGGAGAAGGTTAGAGCATTAATCACCACGCTTGTTCAATGCGGGTTGGCGATTTCAAACTTATAATTAGAAATTACAAGTCCAGGTTTTCTCACGATGTTTACCTTCACCGTATGTCAGTGGTGTCTAAATAATCTAATCATAGAAAATATAAATGTATGCCTACTTGTATCTAAAATATCTTGATGTAGACTAAGTTATAGCATTATGTAGTATATAAACTTTTGTACTTGATGAATGCTATGTATAGTATATCAATGTTTCTGTTTTACAATTTAAATGGTAGTTAAAAAGCAAATTAAATACAATTCATTTATTTCCATTACCTACACGATTTTTTTGTAAGTTAAAGAAATAATAAATTAAAAATGAAACAAAAAGCCCCCTGTACCTATACATCCAATCAATGTAACGAATGAAGGGTGAAACAGAAGTAACAGCATCGTTATCCTACTTTCCTAGTAATCCTACTCAGAATCATTATAATTGTGAAAGTGTATGAGAATGTATGGATGCATGTTTGTTATTTTTTCACGCAACAACGGCTGAACAGATTTGTTTCTTTTGTATGTAGATAGTTGATATCCTGGATTAACGCAAGATATTTTTATCCCAGTTAAACTCACCACGCCAGTAAAACCGCGGGCGAAATCTATAAAACACAAATTCGCTACGAGGCTACGCGGCTACGCCAAGTGGTATGGAGAGCTACGCACGTAGTACGGTATGCTACGAAGACCAAATGGAATTTAAAAAATCCTTTAAATTCCATTCGGAGATTTTTCCTACGTTTTTAGATATTCATATATCACACTCAAGACTTGCATCTAGATCACCCAAATTGTTGCGGGTAGGAGTCGAACCCGTAATGCTTTGCTCACCACCATTTTGCCAAAGGAACATCCTTATTTTTTTTCTATAATTTAAGTTTTCACTAAATGTAAAAATAAAATAACATAACGCCTTTTTCCCATCCAAGGGTCAGCAGAATGCGGTGAAGTGGCCGAGCAACTGGCTGCTGTCAACGGGCCGCCGGTTCAGCTCCAGCCTGGAAAAATGATGTTACCTATAATTTTCCATTGTGATCATTTCCCGTAAGATGCCCACCTTTTTTGTGAGGGGAAAAGCATCAAATGACTTCTCCCGCCTGGGTGAGGCCCTAGGGAGTGTCAGAATATTACTGACTAAAAAGAGGCCTCTAGGCCGAGGGGGTTGCGGGGTAAGCGCAATGAGGCACCGCGACCTCGGCCCAGAGCAGGAGAAGGAACGGGGGGTTTTTAGTCAGGAAGAGTCTGACACTCCCGCCCACCGGGCGGGAGAAGTCATTTGAAGATTTTCCTCTCACAAAAAAGGGCCAAGGCCGCGGTGCTTTACTACGCTTGCCTCCGCAAGTCACATCAGGATTTCAGCATCATCATCATCGGAACATCAGGCCTTAAGAGTCTCGTATGTGGTGGTCTATTGGCTGGAAGACTTCTACCTATGCTGAACAAAGGTAGGCCTTTGTTCAGCATATGCACCCTCGACATAGGAGAAAATCTTAGTGCAAAACACGGAATTAACAAACTAAAATAAGTACGAGAGAGCTATACTTCGGTACGAACGGGCTGGCTCAACAGGAGTGATACCACGGCTTTTGACTTTTGATTTTTTTTGAGTGACGTCATTATGAGGCTCCCATGATGACGTCATGAAGATTGTTTATTATTTATATAAAGTTTCTACTCACGTTTCTGTCACGATAGTTATTACAAAAACATATAGGTAAACGTTAAATTCCAGCTTTTCCAGAACTTGCGTTGCTTTCATCCTTCCTCTAACAGATAAATATTAATTTATTTCTTACCTTATGCTTTCTTTATACTCCAGACATCAGTCAATCTTTTATGTACTCTGGAGGTAGCATACCTCGCAACCGCTGCCGCACAGACCAGCATTTTGATTGGTTACTTTAGAGCTTGGGTATTAAAGTATTATTGAATTTTTTAATAAAACTCCATTCTAGTAACTAGATTTTTTCTTTTTTTTATCATATAGGTCGGCAAACGAGCCGACGGGTTACCTGATTGTAAGCAATCAGCGCCGCCCATGGACACCCGCAACACCAAAGGAGTTACGAGTGCGTTGCCGGCCTTTTAGGGATATGGGTTTCAGATATTTGAGGATTGGGAAGTAGAATTGCTATTAAAACACACACAGTAAGACCCTGAAAAAATATTGCATATACACACACACATCCTCAATCACACCCTCACACTCAAACACGCACACACTTCACACATCAATTGTCTTTTTGTTATCATTGCTAAGTTTTTTATTAGTATTAAAGATTGCATTAGTCCTAAGGAAATCGTATTGTTGATTGCCGCCATACAGGCTTCGGCTAGTGCGGTAGTCATTGTAAATTATTTCCTACTGTAAAGACTGGAATGTCTAATAAAGATTATTATAATTGATTTAGCTTATGAGATTGTCGACATGTGGGATGTAGACTTAGCAGTAATTGTGCCGATAGTCGTTTCTACCAATGGTCTCATGGCTAAAAGTCTCGATAAACACCTAAGCAGGCTTACGTTAGATGGTTGGGTCAAGAATCTGATGCAGAAAGCTGTACTTCTAGACACGGCGCGCATTGTCCGGAGATTCCTTTCTCTGGAGCCCAGACCACCGGTTTCTTGGAACCCTCTCGTAACCATGACATACTGCTTTTTTATATTTTTAAGTGTTTTATTTTGTTTTGTGAAAATATTTAAAAATGTAAAAATCAAGTTTAAAAATAAATAAAGAAATAATAATTATTATAATAAATCCGAACGACTCTTAAGACTGAGTAGTATTGACATAAGGTAATCTTTAAACGAAAGACTTAAGTAAATTACTTAAGAACAAAATATTATCGGCATCCCAAAATTGTTGAACAAAATTAATATTAATAAGTACGCTTTATATTGATACATTAATAACTATATACCCGCCGAATTATTTGCACCTACATACATCAAAACCAAAGTAAGATAATTTTACGAAATTATTATTTGTCTAATGAAATCAATCCATTCTGAGTGTAGCATACTTAGGATAAATTTGTATTATGATCACAACTAAGTAAAGTAAGTAGTACCATCCATTTAAGTAATCCGTACTATCTTAAGTATTGCATACTTAGAATGGATATGACTTAAGTACTGAAAGCCCATCGAAGGTAATGTTTGTTTAGACAAAGATTAATTAAACCGAGGCAACTACGACCGATACCACTACTTGGAAGATAAATAGCTTGATAAAATACAGTAACTTAGTTAGAAACACTGTTTTCTTGAATTCAGTTGCACTATAATTTCACAATAATGATACTGTTGCTTAACGAAGTTCTTGCCGCAGATGCAGGCTGCAACGAGCTAGAGGCTATCTCGTCACTCGTACGAGTGATCTGTGCCAGTAGGTAACGCCGGGTGTTCGTATTTGCCGAGACACACAAAGGTACACATACAAATTCCTAACAACAAACATAAACACGGATACATAGTTGATTGTGCGATGTAGCGGTGCCGGCGGCGACGGCGGCCCCCCCTCCGTGGCGACTGGCGCGCCGCGCGACGCAGACTGTGGCCCGGCCGGAGCCACACCCGCCCGGCTGCCGCGCCAGCCACCAATCCGAGCCCCCGGCCTGCGCTATAGGGCCGCGCGCCAGCCGCGGGGCGGGGCCCCTCGAGTGCCGTAACCCGCGCCGGGGGCTTCGGCCGCCACTCTCGCCCCGAGAGCCACTAGAGGCTGAGCCGTCGAGTGGCGTCGAGTGTCGGCCGGTCGGATGTCCGCGGAGGGCGGCGACTACTCGCCGTGTCCGGCGGAGGCGCTGCCGGAACTGAGCGCTGCCGAGCTGGCGATGAGCCTGTCGCCTAAGTCGGCGCTGCTGCAGCAGAACCTGTCCCAGCTGCAGCTCCAGCATTCTACCCCGTTCTCCGTCACGGATATCCTGTCGCCGATAGAGGAGTACCGCAAGCTGGAGCTGGCGAACAACCCGCCGTCGCCGTACAGGTGCGTGGATCGATCGCCGGGAGGGGGGGGGCGGCGCCCTCCACCCGCTGATTTTTCGAGTGGCGAAGGTCCCGACGAGAGTGCTTGAGCGTCGTTCGTAGTCGAAGGATATAGTTCTGTGACGTTTGTTTGTGCAGGTATGTTGTGATTAGCGGTCAAGTGGTGTGTGTGCGGTCAACGATGTGCTGTAGGCGCGCGGCCCGCGGCTGAGCTCGGTGCTACTCGACTTCTGATCGATGTTACTCCACTCGGTTCTTCGAAATAACGTCTTACCATTCATGAATGATAGTGGACTCAATGTAGCACCCTGAGGCACGCCATCGCTAAGCTCTGCGGTTTACAGTCATGCTGGTGGAGGATTACCATTATATGTGGGTATTTATACATTCTGTGTCCGTGGCTAACTAACCTTTAGTGCCTGTTCTTCATCATTTAGGGTAGTAGCATTAAATTCCATGAGCGACTTACCAAACGCCTTTAAACGATTAAAGACGAAACGAAAAACGACGTAAAAATCATCTTAGAAACTAACTAAGTTTGTTAAGTATTAACGCAAACGGACTATTCGCCAAAGAAAAATAATACCAATTAACCAGATTTCAATTTTGAAGATAGTCTGTTATAATTATATTAGATTGATCGTATTTTTTTGACAGATTTTGTGAAAAAAAGTTAAGCCTACATAGGTACTCAATCAGGGAAGACCCCTACCTAATGAGTTATCTACTACAGAATACATTTAATATTACAATAAAAATGAATAGAATAGAATATATTTATTTGTAAAACATAGGTATTGACAAAATAAAGATCTTATAATAAAATTAGAACGCTATGTTTTGTCATTAAGACGTACAAATGTAGTAGAAAAAACATAAAATAATAAACTAACTTAACATTGAATTGGCAAAAAATAATTAAATAATCGGAAAATAAAACAAACAACAATAAATTCACAGAGACATATCATTCAAATATTCATCCAAAGAGTAATAACATTTTTCGATTAATACTGCCTGAAGAGCCCTTTTGAATTGAATGAATGACTTACCTACTGTACCTATTTGTTTAATAAAATCCGCAAGGAAAATATTTATTTTAAGTAATTCTTTTAAAATACATAAAAAGAAATAATACTTATTTAAGTATGATAAAATGAAGTGAATGGCCAATTCAACAAAAATAGGCCTAGTATACCTACTCATTTCGTAATATAACTAAAATAGTAATAGGTACTGATATTCCTTTTTTATCTTTTAAATAATATAATTTTCACTGAAGCTCATTGTTTTTTTAATAAATATGAAGACAGGAACATTTTGCCTAAGATCTACGAGTAGTTAATGAGAAACATTTCGGTAGATGCGGCTTAAATTTTTTTAATATTCATTTTTTTACCGAAAGTTTTGCCCTCGCAACACAGTAAATTCTAGTGAATGTAATATCAGTTTTTTATTTAAAAGTGTAGCTTTGCTTAGTATCCGATTTTTATATCCATTTGATTTTATTTGCTACATAAGTAGAAATAAACACGGCATTCCCTGCACATTTACAAGATATTTTTTTTTTCATGTTGTCTATGTTCCTTTCTTTTTTTTAACACATAAAGACAACATCATACCCAATAGTATTTTAAAAATTATTATTATTAATTAATGCTATTATTTTAAAAATTAGCAGTTATCATTGAGTATAATGGAAAAAAGCCAGGTTTAGCCGCTCAATTATGATGTTTCTTTAATATAATCTGTAGACTTGATCTCAACGTGTACATACTAACTTTTAAGCCTACCAAGGTATTTCAATAATTATTTTTCCCGTTAATACCCGCGTAATTATAATATATGTTGCACAACGTGTATGTTGAAAAATTTTGCACAAAACTAACTTTCGAATTTTAGGTTGAATGGAAATCCTTTTTTAAATAATAGGAAATAATGAGGCTAGACACGTCTAAATTATTAGTAGCATATCATAAATTATTAAGTAGTAGCTTGTACCTAATAAGTAATAAGTAATAAGTATATTATTTTGCCGATTGAATGTAAGTTATAAGTTATGTTAGCCAGAGATGTAGTATAATTTAACATACAGTAGATAATTCAGTTTTGCATACCTCTATGTACATATTTAACCCCAAGAGTAGACAATAGGTTCTACCTAAAAGTACCTACTTCTGTCTGCTGTTAAAAAACCTATACATTAAAAATACCGTTGATGTAGGCACTGAATTATTTCCGTAATAAATATTTCGTTATTTTCTTCAACTAAGAACATCTTTGTTCTATCTCCATTGGTGCATACATTTTTAATCTATGCTGCTTAGACATCGCATTTAAAAATGGAACGACAATTTATGGTTTCATAAAAAAAATCTCTGTGTAATCAATTTAATATCTAAGTATTAAGAAAATCTATTCAAAACAAACAAAAAATAAAATATCTCTATCTCCAATTTTATTTCAGTTGTAGATAAAAAAATCGATACTTAGCACAAGCCACTGAGTAATTCCATAATGATAATATGATAAAATTTTATTAATGAATCTTTGCTTGCGTCTATCATTCATAGGTAAATGTACGATATTTTCACGATTTCTTTATTATTTCGATAACAAAATTTTATCAATAATTTTAAGGCTGAAGTTTGTCTGTTAAATTGAAGGCGTTAATCTCCGAAACTGATGGTTCGAATAACGAAAAATTGTTGTGTGACAAGGATCGTTTTCTCTTTTTCTATTAGTAATGGGTATATTTATATGGGAATTTACACGTTTGATGGGTAGGTGTGTGTATCGACTACACTCGATCGGTAGTGATCGATAATGTCGCTTACGGTAATTTCCTGAAACTTTTGGTGTTAAGGGAGGGAAATCGTCAAATTAATGACTTCTCGGAGACGAGAAGGAGTGTTTTTGGCTCCAAAATTCTTCTCTTTTTGGCTCCGGGCCTGGACGGCCTCACTCACACGGCGAAACACAACGCTGTGGTTGTTTCACGCCGATTCTGTGTGAGGCCGTGGTATCATTCCAGTCGGATCATTCATGTAATTAGAAACCCGAAGCAAAAGCTTTAAACATGAAACACAACGATTGCTTAAGGTGGATTGACGATTGCAAAATCATGATTAGAAATTATAAGTCCAGTTTTCCTCACGATGCTTTCCTTCACCGGATGTCTAATCTGTGCTGTCTAATGAACTTATAAAGTAAATATGACTTAGAAATAGTCACATTGGTAGATACTTGTCAGGTTTCGAATCTTCGGGCCGCCATCACCACTTTTAGTACCATAATATGCACACCGAATTAATCTATAATATAAAAATGAATCGCGAAATGTGTTGGTAAGCGCATAACTCAATAACGCTTGGGCCAATTTGACCAATTCTTTTTTTGTTATGTTCGTTATTATAAGGAGAAGGTTCATAGGAAAGAAAATTTTAAAAAAGTAAAACGCAATATCGGGAATTGACAACCCTTTCGGTGCCGGGGCTGTTCGCTTGCAAAACAAATGACGGACACCGGTGTGCGAAGCAAGGGCGATCCGCTAGTATAAAATAAATACCCGATTAAAATATTTATTTTAATACGGTTTTCCCAACGGATAAAGTGAAGGCTGATGAAGGTTTAAATTTATAAATGTAAATATCAGTTTCTGTAAGCACTGCAATTTTAACACTGGCAATAAAATTTAAAAATGATTTTCGAAATGCGTGCAATTAGGTAGGTAATAGTTTGACGTGCACTTTTTCACAATAACGGGACAATACATAAAATAATCTCTTAATTTATAAATATTGTATCGTACAAAATAAATGTTTACGATAATCAATATGAATTTAAATAAATCGAGCGTTTCCATGTTTTTTCAATCGCAATCTACGATATATTTATTCTTTGAGATCACCGTATGACGTAATTTTTCTAGTGACTACGAGGTATATATTTTTTAATTTATTCATCTGTCAAATCAGCGTTATTGTGCGGTTTGAAAAAAAAACTTATTTTTGGAACTGCTAACGTCAAAATTTGTTCGTTCGTTTAATTTGATTGTTTTTACTCTGTGGTAGCTAAACTAAGTGTGAGATAATAAAGGTTAAAGGTCCTATTGACTTAACTGTATTTTTTACTTATGAAATATTTACGTTTTTATGATTCTTCGAATTATTATTGTAAAGGTACAAAAAAAATAAAGTATTGACATAATTAAGTATGTAGTTATGGGAACATATTTAAAGAAAAACAACCAGAAATTTTAACGTAGGTAATAGGTATTTAAAGCTAATTTAATTTTAAACACAATAAATAAATTGCTAGCATTAACGTTTTATAAAGCTTTATTTTATAATATTTTGTAAGACAAAATAAGAAACTGAAAAGTATTTTCAAGGTGAATGATAAACTACACGCATTCTTTCATAAGAAACATTCTGTCTATTGCTAACTGCCATTGCAGTTGGTGAGAGCCGCATGACATTTTTATCATCAATTTTTGAGTTTATCGCGATTAAACAGACAGATGAAGAACTCGGAACTTTCTTCTACGCAGCTATTTACTAAAATATACACGTTAACATAACTATAATATCTTTATTATAATTCTTATATTTCTAAATCTTATTTCTTAAAATCACGCCCCACAATCAAATTACTAGTTTCTGCCTGTGGTCTCGCCCGCAATATCAGAGTGAAAAGAAGTCTTCTAAAGTCAAAGTAAAAATCAAATCATTTATTATTCTGTACCTTTGGGGACTTTTGAACGCCAAAGAAAATAATTTAATATCAACAAATCTACTTTATGTGTGTTGATCTATTGGTCTGTCCTCTAGTGAAGCTATTTGCTAGTTCCAAATAATAGATCTTCGAGAGAACGAGCAGGAAACTCCATGATTATTATAATCTGTTACAAAATTTAGTTATTTGTGACATATCTACTTATACGTTATCCTACACAAGTCTCTATCTCTGTGGTAAATTTCATTCAGATCCGTTCAGTAGTTTTGACGAAAAACATTCATCCATTCGTACTTACAAACTATAACGTTATTCTTTAATAATGTAAAACCATTATTATAAAATAATGATCTTGTTACCGCTTATTGACAAACATATTAATAAAGCCAACCAATAAATTTACCTGTACTCTATACCTAATATTATAAGATGAGGAAAAATGTGTACCTAAGAGATAGGTAAAATTTGTAAGTTTGTATGTGGAACCGTTGGTCGAATTGCCAAAATTCTTTGACTGATAGATAGCCACAACATTCCTTAGTGCTATAGGCAATCAATTATAATTTATTTACGTATTTTAGTCGACCTATCTGCTGTTTTTGAAATGCCGGGAATTATTACTTTTATACCTACGCGTGCGAAGTCGCGGGCGGAAGCTTGTTGTTAAATAAAAGTAGTAGCCAAAATCTGTCGGTGAACGAGTTCTTGAGAAGGATCGTACCTATCAATGTGTAAGAAAGTAAGAAGTAACGGGGGGGTTTTTACTCAGTAACTCTCAGACACTATCTCGCCTTACCTAGGGCGAGAGAAGACATTTGACAATTTTTTTCCTAACTATTCTTTGTTCAAAGACAGGTATATCTTTAATACTTAGGTGTTTTTTTTATCATTCGGCGTGCGCGTTGTCCATAGTGTAGGTACCCGTGAGGTAAAATGTTGAGTTTTATTAGTGTTGATAATCAAACAAATTTTAATTTTTCAAATCATTCCTAGCCACTTACAAACATTCCAAAGAATGTAGCTGACTGTACAATTTGACAGCCAGTTGGCGATGAGACAAGCATTCGATTTAGCCTGTTATAAACTAAACATTGCATGAGCGAGTGTTTGCTCTGGTACGAGTGGTTCACACCTACAGATTTTTCCGCTACTGATAAATAAACACTGCTTTACATGACAAACAAGAGGCCATTGTGTTATTTTATGGCGTGCCCAGTTTGGGAACTAGGAAAGTGATAGTGATCGTCGAGTTTGGACACGTTAGACATCTCTGAACCGCATTTGTTTATGAATTTCCAAGTCATCTGTGTTTTATGAAGCTTTTACTAGATTTTGCCAGCTTTCGTTAGCATTTGCGGCATAAAATATGCGGGAGAGCCATGCTTCGGCACGAATCAGTCGGCTCGACCGGAGTGATACCACGGCCCTATGGAAAACCACAGCGTTGTGTTTCGCCGTGAGAGTGAGGCCTCCGGTAAGGCCCAATCCTTCCCCTTCCAAATCACTAATCTCCAAAAGGTCGGGAATGCACTCGTAACTCCTCTGTTCTGTCGTAACTTCTTTGCGGCGCTGATTGCTTACTATCAGGTAATCCGTCTGCTCGTTTGCCGAACTATCACATAAAAAATGCCTATGGGTTATTTAAAATAGGCATATGCATCCCTGTGCCTTCTATTTGGATCCATACATAAGTACAATCTGTGCAATATTCTTTCTGATTTACCTACCCTATTAGTAAAGCACCGTTTTTGCTCATTTTGGTTAGACATATTTAAGATGACCTGTCCATCGGTAAACCACAATGATATTTAAATACATGACCGCACATTTAAAATGTAGAGGTACTTATATATAGTTATTTCGGAATATGTGACTATGCGTAGTTTCTTCAAGTTTTGCGTGCCACATTAGATTATTGACCCTTCACATTAAAACTTCCAGAACCGAGTTTCTTAGAGCCGGCAATGTGCTTGTGACTCCTCTGATGCTGTGGGTGTCCATGGGCAGCACTGATCTCTTCCTATTTTATAAAAAATGAGAGGTTCTGTGAATCATCATCAAATTCTAATCAATATTTAAAAAAATAGTCACCTAGAAAGAAAGGCAAAGAAAGGATTAAAAATATGATTGTGTCGTTTCAATCCTTTTACATTTCATAGGTTTAAGATACCTACCTAATTTCAAATCCAGGCCTATTTTTACACACCACGGTAAAAAGTGTCTTTCGAACAAAATTCTTCGTAGGTTTAAAATAGTTACTTAATAATTTTGGAAAATTAATTAAATCAATTCATCATGGATGAATTTTTATTCAACCACCTACCAATCTGGCTGGGTCCTTTCAATTTATTACTTTTTAATTATTATTTGTTTTAATAGAAACGTTAGGAGTTTGTATCTTTATTTGTATACCTACACCGTACCTAGGTAATCAAGTCTCAACCTTAATAAAAAATACGCGGAGGAAACAGGTATCTTAACCCCGAATATTATTAATTTTACTTACAGGTAGGCCTAAATACTAATTAAATTACACCAAAACTAATTAAAATCTACATAGCGCGCCAAATTAAAAGATAACAATCTTATAATCAAATTAAAATTAACTTCAATTACTCTACGTACCAATCTAGACGGATCGCGCCGTAATTTCCCGCCCTGTCAAAACTCAATTTGTCAAACCAAACATCGTAATGGCGGCCCTGGGGGTGTTCCATAGACAAGAACATATTTACCGATTAAAATAATCGCTATGATCGTTATTATATAAACGTTAGGGTTTAAAATTGCTTGTAATTTGTTTTCCTAGACGCGGAGATGGTTCGATAGGGAGATTAAATTGTGTAAATAGGGATTAGGCAGATAAGCTCTGTATTGTTTGGAAGTGACGTGTTGGCGCCTCGTTGGCAAACGGCTTAGAGTTCTGTGTGTGGCAGATTCGGGTCAAATCTGTTTTGTCTGAATTTAATCTTTTAGATAACTTTCAGCATAAAAGATGATATCTACCGTGAGTCAAAAATTGTTTCATAGTAGCATGCTCAATTATCGAATAGTATTTATCATGGAGTTGAGCCCCAAATCTACAAGATGGCTAACAAAATAGGTACCCCGTGCTATTGATTTTTTTTAAGCGATTAGTATTTAGTCCTCGGATCATTGTTGGTTTGAAGTAACCTTTGGTTTTGTCCTGGTTAGTTGTTTAGTCTCACTATAAGGTTATTTAGTAAGAATATTTTTAGTCGATACAATAAATTATTCGGAATATACTCGCCTAGTTTTGTAGTCTTCTCCTTCGTTTGGTTTCCTTGTGCCATTTCAGTTAGAAAGGCACAAGGAAACCAAGGTCGTTTGGTCTTGTTGTGTCCAAAATTTTTCCTACAGGTCTGAGACTGCTAATCACAACGTTGTGGGTTCAATGCAAGACTAATAAGAATATTTTTCTTGAGAGATTGAAAATCTAGTAAAGTATTGTTAATCAACAATGCGAAAAGCATCATAACAGTACTAAGTATACAGATCTAGTTAGTGATCTCTGAATATTGTGTATATGTAATGTGAGAAAAATATATATTTTCTTACCCGTTTGTGATAATATTAAAATTATGATTGTTATTGTTTTCAAAATTGATTAAGTCACATAGATTAACATATTTTATTATCTCAAACAGATCGAATTCATCAGGCAGCAGCATCAATTCCCCGCTGGGGCCTTCCTGTGGGATGGCGGCCAACCCGTACGCGGTGCCGCTGTATGGCGGAGCCCCCGTCCAGGGCTACGGCTGCGCCCCATCAGACCTGCCCCATTACGGAGACATGAGAGGCGCGGGCTGGTACCCTGCCTCTAACGACCCCAGGTTTGCCAGTGAGTCGGCGATATTCTTTATAGCAACATTATTATGTACTTATATCTCATTCAATTAAACAATACCCGGTCAACTTATTTACGGGGATGCCCGATTTGTTTCGAGGCACATCGGGGCCCTTAGCGAAATACTCGTGAACCTTATGAAATTTGCTCTGATTATACCTACATTATTAAATTATCAACAATTAGGATACTCACGTCACTATTATCTAAGTATGCGTCAACCATGACAGGGAAAAAACCCTTCAGAACTCACTCTAAGTTACATGTACACTAAGTAGGTACTACTGATAAATAATTTATTTTATAGTAGTAGGTAATTTGGAAGCATCAAAAATAAATGTAGGTAAGATTTAAAACCTATAGGTACATCAAGGTTCATAATCAGAAATAAGCTATATAATAACTAATTACTTAATATAGTTTTCTTTCTACTTTACCTACTTACCTAAATAACGGAATTAAGGCAATCAATCACATAAACAATATTCATAATAAGCACATAAAACAAGGCGTATGTAATTCATACTATTAATAAATTGACGTCAATCAAAATGGCGGGTGAGCGCGCATGCGCGTTACTAGCATCGTCGGTACGAGAATCGCGCCTCAAGTATCAAACGGCAATTTGATGTAACCCGACGCTTTTAGCTAATTCGGTATTTATCAGGGAACTGATATGGATGGCGTATCACTTTAAGTAGGGTTTGCTTAAAGTAAGGTGTTTTAGTAACGTGATATTGATGATTAGATAAGAGTAACTTTTTGTTTCTTTGGTGCGTAACCAAATCGTTCTTAGAGATACTTTATACAAAGTAAGCTAACTTTTTAAAGAAAACTTATGATTAAAGTAAATATTACTTACTTAGGTAAGTCTTTGTTGGTTTTTCACACCTAATTAGATACTTCTTATTGAATAGGTAGGTATTATAAACGTCAAAATCTTTATTCTAGTTTCAACACTAGGATCTCATATAGAGTAAAATATTCATTCAAGTAATGTGCCTAATCCGCAGAGTTGAAAGCAAAGTTTTAACTATTTTCAACCTCATTCTTATCTTCCGTATCAACCTAATATTACTCATTAGTGCCTATTATTTGATGACCGAGATAAAACTGTCTCAGATTGCGAGTTGGGTGAGCAAACACCATTACTGACGGTGACAAAAAAGCGAGTTACGTGCTTCGCCAGCTAGCCACCATCTTAGCCTCAGATCAACCATAATTTGTTGCAGAGGCGTCAATGCATTAAAATATCAGTTTACTTAACCACGAACGGTTCGAATTTGTTTATTTTGTTGAATATTACGAAATACTTTTTGTTTGGCTTGCTTTAATACGGGAGCTTTGTAAATTAATTCAACACTGATCATTTCTTTGTCCAATACTAGTAGGTATAAAAAATATGGAAAATTTTAAGTTTGTATATAGCGTTTGTATATATCTTTGGAACCACTGGTCGGCATTCCAAAATTCTTTTATTCATAGATAAATAGATAGGGTCTATAGAGAGCACACAAGAACATTGCAACAGCGCAACAGTAGTTATCTTTGATAGATTAAGACAAATGTTTCTTGCATAGCAAATACTCGGTTCGTGAGTTCTTTTATAGAAATTTAATTCATAATTATATAACAATTATTATCATTTAAGTTGGTTTACCTAACAATATCACAATCAAACTAATTACTTTAAATATGTAGAAAAAAAATGCCAAATTTTTTTTACATCCTGACGCATGTCAAAAAGTCGTGTCTTCTCTATAATCTATGGGTGACTGGTAATTCGATACAGCAACGGGAGCGCTACCATAGTGCAGGTGCATACTCGATGCACTCACTTTTATTTAATTTTCCATTTATTTACTGGGTCGTCTTAACAATCTCAGTTTCTCGGGATCGTGGTAGGTACACGGCCCTCGTGTGTTTGTCAACCGTTATGTAGATTACAAGTCGTACTTTATTTATTTTAATGTTTTTCTAAGAATTTTGTACTTCACTCAAAATTGTTTTGCCTCAAGAGGATTCTTGCGTAAACGGGATTATTTATTGTTTTGACTCTACCACTCTTACCTGAAAACTTCTTAGCTGAACATCCAAGAATTATGTACCTACTTTGGCTTTGAAACAATTGTATCGAGTAGTCAAACGGAATTAGCTAAGAAGCTAAGATCGATCGGTCTATGCATTAGAGCAGAAATTACTTTAAATAGATCTAGGTAGTTTTCAACTAAGTAATCAAATTCAATACTTTTATCCAAATGTCAAAAACGATATCCCAAATTATGATGTCATTGTATTTTTCCGTCAAATAGCTTACTTATTTCTTAAAAAAATGCCTAAAAAATGTCGAAAATTTTGTGTATCGACAGATCGATGAATGAAGTATAATAGTTATATTGAAACTACCCATTTGGCTCAACTATTCACTAAAAGTAATTTCAGTAATAATCAAGTCTAGTGTCTCAAAGCCGCCGGCGATTGCAACAAGATACCGCTTAAAGTTGAACGGTAGACAAAGCAGGGCAAAGACAATCTGTAATTTAATCTAAACTCCATAGACGAGGCTAGGAGTTGACGGAGAGAGAGTATGTTTGTGTAAACAGTACAGAATTACTTTGTGTAGAAAGAGACGGATTGAGGAAGGATTGCGTTAAAGTTAGAAGATATAGAATAAAGCAATTTATATTTGGTACAGATAACATAAAAGAAATATTATATTCACATTCACATCTTTCCTTCAGCCTTTCTGCATTCGTATAAAATAATCTCAAAACACCATTTATGGCTAATTTATGAATAGTCAGGATAGACAAGCATAGAAAAACAAGCTGGAAAAAAGTCAAAGTCAAAGTCAAAAATCTTTTATTCCAATTAGACCTATACAGGCACTTTTGAACGTCAAACAAAATTTTGAAAATATAGTGTCAATCTGTCGGTCAGTCCTCTTAGTGAAGCTATTTGCTCGTTCCAAAGTGTAGATTACGATGGAGAAGAAAGAGCAAAAGAATAGAAACATTTATAATTCTTAACTCTGTTAACCAGCAATAAAGGCTTATTTATTTATTTATTTATTATTATCAATAGTCAGATAAATGTTATCTGAGGAATATAATTGTTGCTGTATTATGATTTTATTAACTCTTATTTAAAAATTCTGACGCAACAGCATCATCATTATTTTCTAGGTAACTTTTATCTAACCATTGAAAAATCAGCCTTTAAATGAACATTGAGATTGGATCTTTATAATTATAACGTTTGATACCTATAACGCTCTTTAAAAAAACAAGAAAATTTTAAATCAATCACAAGCTCTCGTAACACGTTACGTAATAAAAATCCTTGCCAACAAGCTCTCGTTCGTAACATAACAGAATGTTCTCAATAAAAGAGCAAAGACTCTAGCATCCCTCTACTTTGTATTTTACTGAAATAATTGAGCGTAGGTCGTGCTCACACAATGGAAACAAAAGATCGCGTCGATCTATTTGTTACGGCAAATGAACTGGGAAGCTTCTCTATTATCTATGAGCTATAAGTCCAATATAATTGGCCCGTTAATATGGACGAGATTTGAAAAATAGGTTTACATTATTCTGATTGCCAAGTTGTTAGTATATTTTACTAATATATGTAGCTTTGCATTGAAAAAATATGTTGGGTTAAAAATGAATTGCATAAGTGTATTCTATCTTGATAATAATTTTCTGCGTAAAATGGTTATTAATAAATATACATATAATTTACCAAAAAATTAAGTAAATATCTATAACTAATATATCTCATAAAATAAATAACGATTAGTTACGTATATGAATGTGAATAAAAAACAAACTTATTTTATTACGTTTTATTCAAAACAAAACCTATGCAACGGGTAAACGATTGAACAACATCACATTAGTGAGCCTCTCTTTGTCGAACAATACAAATCTTCGGCCACAATGGAGCTTATTATCTTTAATAATAAAAAAACAGTACAATCTAAAGAAAACGAACAACTCGTTGAACAAAATTTACAAATAATTTAACACAATAATGCATCATGCTTCCGCACATACGAGTATCTTTGAGCAGAGATTAAAACGGTAAACTGTCGAGTGATGTCCAAGGGACAAAAAACATCTCGAATACCCACCGAATTATTGTAAAAAAAAGATAACTAAAGTGGTCCGAGAAGCGAGCCCTGAGGCACGCCTGTCGCCCGCCCGTACCTGTTGTACTAGGGAGCTGTGTAGACAGACAAAATAAGCAATTCCATTTGATCGGGCCCATATTTGCCCACCACTAGAGTCTTGACTGTGTAAACATTAGGCCTCACGTCCGCAAATAGCGTGATGTCGGTGCATTCGAAGGCTCCAGCGAGTCCGGAGAAATTATTTTACTAAATGGTAATGAATATGGTAATTGGTGTTCGATACTTATGTTCTTGGTTAGTGTGAAAGGTAGTTTGTAAATGTCAGATAAATACAGTAACTCACGTGTTTGTATAATACCGAGCACGTCAAATACTTAAACTTAAAATATTTATTTTAGGTGTCGAGGTGAAGTATTTGTTAGATATTTTGTATGATTTAGTCTCATGGAAATAGTGGTTCTTATTTTCTTTAGTATAGTTAGTATTCATAAAACCAGCAAGAGAAAATAAAAAGTTAACCCTTTGTAGGTCAGTGATTTATTTTTCAGTTCAACAGTGAATTTTGTTCTCTATCGCTCTATGCAATACTCGTGTCAAAGTGAAAAATACGTACACAATTTTCAACCGCTCGATCCGCAGCATTTTTCAAGTGTGGCGACACATCAAACGCTCACTGTACCCACGGTCAGCGGTAAATTAAAATTGCCGCGGGGAAAAAATAAGTGTGTGACACACTTAGTTTCCATGCAGGCGCGCCTAATGCGGGCCGAGTGGCCGCGTCACCGCCAGCCGGCCGCAGTTTATCTTCCTTAGTGTGGCAACACTGAGGGAAATAGCCGCGGAAATGTTTGCTATTTCATTTCCCGCCATCTTTGTTGGTTTGTTTACTTTTCGAAATGGCGACGGTTCCGTTTTCGCCGGACAAGAGTCGAGATGGTAATATTGTTGGACAGTCTGCGAATTTACTGGCGGCGTCGTTAGTTTGAAAGTATTGCCTTTTCTCGAGCAATTTCTTTATGGTCGTTGGTTTTACACTACAGAATCTCTTAAAATAATTATGCGAAGTAAGATTGAAGTGAATTCTTCAACATTGATGATGGACGCGTGCCCAATTTATAAATAAGTACGTATCTAAACACAAACATGAACGCTTGTGTGGATTGACCGTCAATTGTCTCAGCCCACTCTGATCAATTAGGCGTAACGCGAGGCAAACATCAAACCGGATCACTACTAGTCAATTAACTACTGAACTACGAAGAAAAGACGATTCTACTGCATGTTGTGTTAAACTCAGATAAAAAGTATCAAACTCCGATCTGCCTCATTTTCCGATCGGCCGCCCACGATACGACCTTTTATTTTGACAGCACACTCGGTTGGGGTTGCAACAATGCTCCTATTATAGTCAATGTTTATCCACGCACAATTTGCTCGCGTTTATATAGCGTTGGCAACATTTCTCGTAGGGGACGACCAGATGCGTACGTATGGCGAATTTTAATGCGATTATTATGAACTGTTTTGAAGTGATCAGGAAGATTATGAGCAATTTAATGACGGTTTTTTTTTCGTCACAATACAAGCTTATCTCATCCATAAAATCAAACAGATTAACCGCGTGTATGCAACTATCAATCAGCCTATTTCTTATAATATTATTTATATCTAGCATATAAAATTGTTTACCATTACATTAACGTAATAGCCAGCCGATGACGCTAATAATTATTGGTTGACTTAAATTCAAGTTCACGAAAATTAAAGTTATAAAATAAAACAATTTGTTCTTCGATTCGTAGAAATAAAGTTAAAAATAAATTCAACACTACATAAAATTTT